ATATCCACATCTGATCAAACTTCTCCAACACTAAAACACCACAGCTCAGGGTAACCCAGCTCATATCTGCTCTAGCTCGGGTTCTCCGCTCTCTTTAATATCATGTATAATACCAAACAACACACACTAACACGAAAACAAAAATACACTGCTTTGAGATAAAAGACTAATTATGTACTCAGACACATGACCGCAAATAAAGATAGCGGGAAGCCGTTTTAGTGAAGTGCATCATGAAAAGCTGGAGACATACAGACACTTATAACATGCTGTTTTGATGTGAAGTTTGATTAAAGTGCTCGGTGTACACCAGCGACCAAACCAGGCCCGCGTCCCGCATCGCCAGCGTTTAAGAGACAATCATCGCCGATTAGCATTCATGTTCATTCAGTATTTAGACGCATGAATGAAATTGGGCTCGAAATCACTTTAACAGCGTTTAATCATCGACGAAAGTAAGTGCTGTGAGTTAAGCGAAATCAGCAGCTCTTATTTACATAACCACGGGTTTGTGCGTTATTTAAATAATTAAAGACGCACAGATAAAACGGGCTGATTATATAAATACAATAGAGTCTGAGCTGTAAGACATTAGGGGAGGCTTCTCGTGTTTTTAAAGCTCGTCTCCACGAATGCGACGTTAAAGACGGACGTTCATCGTCTCGTGTCAGAAGGTCATGTTGCGTTGATTAATTCGGGTTATCTTCCCGATGTACGCTAAGAGAAAATGAGGCAGCATCACCCACACAACACTCTCTCAAAAGTTTCCCGTATAATGATAATAAAACTGCCCAACCTTGATGCCTGCCGACCGCACCGGAGACGCGGAGTGTGGCCCCCGGCAGAGGACCGATGTGGTGAAGAGGGTGTACGCGATGTAAATAATAAACGCCTAAATCGCTAACCTTTGGGTTTCAGATTTGCAAACATGGCTGGTACTGTTTGAGCGCAGCCATGATCACAGACGAGAGAAAGAGAGCGAGCCGAAAGAGGAAGTGAAGCAGCGCGCGCCTCCGGGTCCCAGCGCCGGCCGGGTAACGTTAGAGGAGAGACCCGTGCCAAACACCAGGACCTCTGCCTCTGCCTCTGCTCCGAGTCTGACACGAACCACTCTCCCCACTATAGCCTCCTGAGACACCCAGCTATGGAGTTTTTGTCTCTGTAGTAGACATCATATTTTAGTTAATTTCTCTGAGAGCCCACATGTCACAGTTGTAAGTCTGGATGTCCTGTACAGAGCACATTCAGGGCTGTTCAGAGATGCCAAATAGTTCAAAAGGGTCTGGCTGCAACCTGGTGCTTGCACTCTCAGACTTGCGCTCTCAGACTTGCACTTGCACTCTCAGACTTGCAATCTCAGACTCGCGCTTGCACTCTCAGGCTTGCACTCTCACGCTTGCAATCTCAGACTCGCGCTTGCACTCTCAGGTTTGCACTCTCAGACTCGCGCTTGCACTCTCAGGCTTGCACTCTCGCGCTTGCGCTCTCAGACTCGCGCTTGCACTCTCAGGCTTGCACTCTCGCGCTTGCGCTCTCAGACTCGCGCTTGCACTCTCAGGCTTGCACTCTCGCGCTTGCGCTCTCAGACTCGCGCTTGCACTCTCAGGCTTGCACTCTCGCGCTTGCGCTCTCAGACTCGCGCTTGCACTCTCAGGCTTGCACTCTCGCGCTTGCGCTCTCAGACTCGCGCTTGCACTCTCAGGCTTGCACTCTCGCGCTTGCGCTCTCAGACTCGCGCTTGCACTCTCAGGCTTGCACTCTCGCGCTTGCGCTCTCAGACTCGCGCTTGCACTCTCAGGCTTGCACTCTCGCGCTTGCGCTCTCAGACTCGCGCTTGCACTCTCAGGCTTGCACTCTCGCGCTTGCGCTCTCAGACTCGCGCTTGCACTCTCAGGCTTGCACTCTCGCGCTTGCGCTCTCAGACTCGCGCTTGCACTCTCAGGCTTGCACTCTCGCGCTTGCGCTCTCAGACTCGCGCTTGCACTCTCAGGCTTGCACTCTCGCGCTTGCGCTCTCAGACTCGCGCTTGCACTCTCAGGCTTGCACTCTCGCGCTTGCGCTCTCAGACTCGCGCTTGCACTCTCAGGCTTGCACTCTCGCGCTTGCGCTCTCAGACTCGCGCTTGCACTCTCAGGCTTGCACTCTCGCGCTTGCGCTCTCAGACTCGCGCTTGCACTCTCAGGCTTGCACTCTCGCGCTTGCGCTCTCAGACTCGCGCTTGCACTCTCAGGCTTGCACTCTCGCGCTTGCGCTCTCAGACTCGCGCTTGCACTCTCAGGCTTGCACTCTCGCGCTTGCGCTCTCAGACTCGCGCTTGCACTCTCAGGCTTGCACTCTCGCGCTTGCGCTCTCAGACTCGCGCTTGCACTCTCAGGCTTGCACTCTCGCGCTTGCGCTCTCAGACTCGCGCTTGCACTCTCAGGCTTGCACTCTCGCGCTTGCGCTCTCAGACTCGCGCTTGCACTCTCAGGCTTGCACTCTCGCGCTTGCGCTCTCAGACTCGCGCTTGCACTCTCAGGCTTGCACTCTCGCGCTTGCGCTCTCAGACTCGCGCTTGCACTCTCAGGCTTGCACTCTCGCGCTTGCGCTCTCAGACTCGCGCTTGCACTCTCAGGCTTGCACTCTCGCGCTTGCGCTCTCAGACTCGCGCTTGCACTCTCAGGCTTGCACTCTCGCGCTTGCGCTCTCAGACTCGCGCTTGCACTCTCAGGCTTGCACTCTCGCGCTTGCGCTCTCAGACTCGCGCTTGCACTCTCACGCTTGCACTCTCAGGCTTGCACTCTCACGCTTGCACTCTCACGCTTGCGCTTGCACTCACAGGTTTGCACTCTCACGCTTGCACTCTCAGGTTTGCACTCTCACGCTTGCACTCTCAGACTCGCGCTTGCACTCTCAGGTTTGCACTCTCGCGCTTGCACTCTCAGACTTGCGCTTGCACTCTCAGGTTTGCACTCTCACGCTTGCACTCTCAGACTCGCGCTTGCACTTTCAGGTTTGCACTCTCGCGCTTGCACTCTCAGACTCGCGCTTGCACTCTCAGGCTTCCAC